GAGGGGTATGCATCCGTAAGTTGCACTAGTCCGAATGATTTCGGAAGGGAGAGGTCAAGTTTCGGCATGATATTTCTCTTTCGTGTCTTGCGATTTATCATTGTCTATAAAAAATGTATGCTTGTGACAATTTTACAAAGGCATTGATTTCGGGGCCTCGATGGTGATTTTCTTAACAATAATAACAGGCATTTATATGGGCTCCGTGCGCCAACAAAAGAGGGCGCCATTTTACCTAGCAACGACGTCCCATGGGCGGGACATTTAGCTGGTTTACGCGCACCGTTCCTTGTGTGTGACGCACGTACGCCAGGGGATTTGTACTATGTACACGCAGTGGTACATGGTACGGCCGCGCGTCGCGGCAAAATTGCAGTCAGGCAAGATGGCGTCGGTCGGTAACCCCAACTGTGCTTTCTTTGCCGGTGAGGGGGTATTTGTGGACGGAGCGGATAGCGCTCTTAAGCGGGGTATCAAAGCGCTTTACAATAATTATTACTCTTGTTCAATGGGCAAACACTCATTAAACCTTCTCAACTCCCTGGGAGCATACACAGCTGGTAGGCAGCCATTTCGGCGCTCTTGGCCGTAATCAACCTCTCACAGGCACCAACACTGCCCTCACAGGTACCCATTTACTCCTGGGTGGAGAGAAGCAATGAGTGACAAAGTGCCTTGCCCAAGGGCACACGCGCCATAACCCCAGGCTGGACTCGAACCCAACCTACAAAATTACCCGCAGACCGCAAATCCAATGCCCCAGACTACTAGGCCACGGCATTCCACAATATTACCTACTCCAATTATTATTTTCTTAAGAAATCAATGAACCAAAAAATAATAAAATTTGGAAATTGTACACGTTAACCTTTTTATTCAAGGGTTCCGGAAGCGCGTCGACAAGGGCAAACTTTCAGTCTCCGTACAGACCATTGCGATTCAGTGATACAATCAGTGCCCTCGGGCTGAAGTCAAACTATAGCCCATAAAAATTGAGCGACGGCAAAAGTACAAAAACGTTGGATACTGGGTTTGAAATATACTTTGTGGGATATCCATGTCAATCACTGTTGGATAGGCCTGTTCCCATAAACTTTTGTACACGGAGTTACACAAGACATATCTGAATCAATACTGCAAGCAATCTCCCGTTATGGGATGTAGGTTGCAGGTGTGTGTGGCTGGGGGCACTTATAATAAGCACTGCTTTTTATACTCGACAAGTTTAGTTTCATATTTTAATAAAAAAAGTTGGATGTCTGTGACCGAATACTGAAAATAACTGGACTGTCGTGCCGAGCAGGAGCTGTTCTTAACGACACCATGAATAGCAAGAAGTTTCATTGTAATCATTTTCATAACTAAAATCTTTTCTCATTTTGAAAAAAACATCAAAATTATCTTCCACAATCCTTGTTATCACCGACCCATAGTTGGAGGACAAAGATGCATAGTTGCTATACAATACAATTAAAGTAGTCTCATATATGTATTTAAAAAATGCATAATATAAAAGAGCATGCATGCCTATAGTGAAGCTGGTCAGTCTTTAATAGGCACTATAACAGTCAGTGAGATAGGTAGCCAGTCCAAGGCGCGGAAAGATTTCCATATACGAAGTTTACTCAACACCCTGTGTACAAACCCTATGAGATTGGACTGAAAAAGTCTAAGTGTTTTCTAAGAAAATGCTTGTATTTTCTCACTGCTCAAATTGACTTTGATGACATGAAATTGCTATATGGGGGCTTGTTAGTCAATACAAAGGAACATTAGTGAACTTCGTATATGGAAATCTTTCCGAAATGAAAAAAGACGGTAACATTAATCGTTAAAACTGAAATGGTTAACTATATTCATGTAAGTGGATTTACGCTGTACACTTTGCTTAGGCCTATACTCAGTTCATGATGTACCTCAAAATTACATTTTCAGTAAATTAATATTAATAGTGATATGAAATAATAATACAGTGAAAAATAGTGTTGAAAAGGTATTTAAAAGGAAATGAAATATGACCACTTACCCCAGCAATGTTTGCAAGAAAGTGTATACATGCCGAACTATCTCTCACTGTGATTCGGTTGGTGAAGTTTAGCGGCCACAACACATCAAGAACCAACTAAACATTGAAGGCAATAATTCTCTGTCGAGATGGTTGTCGCTGCTGAACTGCATGAAACATCCACTTGTTTTGTCCAACGGCCTATCCAGTTACCTTGCATCAATCCTCGTTAGAATTTCGAGCCCATGTCCACAAAAATACAAGGTTTTACGCCATTAAGCAATCACCATGACAACGGCAGTTTGTTTACACTCTTTTGGGGGTTGTCACGCTTTTCCACTTCGTTACTTTTGCCGCGTTAGGGCTCTCAACACGTAGATGTTGAACAGTTGACACAAAAGAGCCGAAATATCAAGCGGAACCGGTCACAAAAACCTTGATCTGGAACTGTCACAATTCACAGGAAAAAAATCCATTCAGTCCCGCTCGGCCGCGCCCGTGATGGTTGATGGCGTATTTCCAGATGCCGTCTGTCGTTGAGGCCGGGGAACTTCTGCCTTTCATTCCATTGTTAACATATCTGGGTTTCTGAGGTAAATGCCGGCATACCCTCCACCTGGCGGTGGGCGTAAACAAACGTGACCCACTGCCCTGCATTCGCGCACCCACCTTGCATAGCACGTGTGCTTCCAGACAGCTGGACCGCATGGGACCGCATGGAACCGCAATTGATGTCGAAAACTAACGGAACACGTATCAAATTTACTCACACTTCAGTCAACCAAATTCTCCACAGTTTCCAGACAAGATTCTCCGTATTTCTCCAGGATTAGTCGAGAATGACTTCTCATATAATGTACACATTTTGCAGGGGCAAACTGATTTAAAATGAAGCCCAACGTAAACTCGAACGACCACGAGTGAAATCATTTATTTTAGTAGTCTGGTGATGTAGCTATGGAAAGATTTATATGTACAGAAAAAAGAGATTGGGTACCAGATAGTTCATTTATTAGTCTGGTGGTGTAATTTTCGGGAAAAGTACATATACAGAGATTGGATACAAGATGCTATACACGTGTGGTATAGTGAGGAGTGTTGGGCTGACTGTTTGCTGCATCGATCTTTTTCAATCTTTTTGGGGGGCGTGTTTTCAAAATTAATTTGAAGTTTTGAGACTCTTTTCGCGGAATATATGAAGTGCTGAATTCTTACGGAATCTTCCGTTATGTTGGTCGAGATATTCAACGTGATAGAAATCCCAATTTAGGCCTACCATGGGTACATTTGGCAGTTTATTTATTATTTATTTCGAGGTTTTACCAAGACCAAACATTTTGCCTCTGAAGTAGTCCTAGCTAAGAATGAAATTACAAGGCCACTCTATTAATTTTAATTGTTATATTCCGGGTCAATTCAGCCAGTGAGCAGTTTGCAGCAGTTTTTTTTCTTTTTTTCAGGACCTAAAATTAAGCCATTTGCATATATAAAGTGACTGTCCTAAAATGTTTAAAAAAAAAGGAATAATTAAATGAAATCAATTATGAAACATATAAAAACACATAACATGTGTACATGTCTCTAAAGACAAAAGAAGAAAATCATATATTTTAATTAACAAAAAATTGAAAAAAAAAACCCGGCAAGTGAACAAACTGAACGCAAGCTTCACAACCAGCTCTCCTTCGGTCACATGAGAGATAAGACCCGGAATCAATTAAGGCTCTATTGGGCCTGCCACTTTTCCGGGTCAAAATGACACTTTTCCGGGTCAAATGACACTTTTCCTCATCAAAATGACACTTTTCCGGGTGAAATTGACACTTTTGTCCGGGTCGAAAATGACACTTTTCCGGGTCAAAATGACACTTTTCGGGTCGAGTTGACACTTTTATTATGACACTTTTATTATGGAATTATAACTCGATAGAGTGCCAGGACCAATGGAACACGGATTGCAGCGTCAAAACTGACCGGGGAGAGTGCAAACCTGCTTATTTGTAGATTTGCTCCACAGAATCCAATCACAACCCTTTTCATCCCCTGCAATAAATTGATACATCAAAATTCGGACCCCACGCGCTGCAAGGAGCGGAGGAAATCAATCAACCAGTCCTAGTCAGAAATAAATAATAAAGGGGCCCGAAAGGTTACAAAATTCCCACAATCAATTGCATAGTTACAGAAATCTATTCAGGACCTCCTACAGCGCACGCAGCGAGGTGTATCTGGTGTTTACCGGTCTATGGAATAGATCATGCAGATAGGTGTTCAGTGGTTAGATAATTGTAATACTCATCTCAATAATCCTCGACCAAGTCAAACTGCTCGACCGAGGGGGAGATCACAGGAGTATGCACAGAATATACCCCCCCCCCCCCCCCCCCCCCCCCCCCGCTGTTTGACCCGACGAGTACGACTAACCCCACACCCATTTTCTGTTTTGTACGCCAACAAAGTGCCGGGCCTATAATGATGAAGAAACGAAAAGTGTACATGCCACCTTAAACTGAATATTAGCTGAAAATAACAGTGTCGATAGTGGACATATTGTGTCTGTATACACCTGTCAGATTCTGTCCATTCCCAAAAGCTTTCTGAAATTCCAGGATTTAGGCAATTCATTGTCGTTGCGGAATAATCCTATACGATAGCACTGCCCGGTTCTCTTTACGAGACAAAAAGAAAACCAGTCTAAGTCACAAGTAGCAGTCAGTCAGAATGACTGACTAGTCAGTCGGGGAGTCGGTCAGTCAGGGAGTCAGTCAGTCGGTCGGTCGGTCGGTCAGTCGGACCAGCAAAAATATGTTCATAATTCCCAAAAGACGAAGGAAAGAAGGGCCTTCAACCGAACGAAGAGTAAAAGAAGAAAATAAAGACACATTTTAGCGGATATTAGAGATAAACGCATAAAAATACTAATTTATATTTTGGACTAAAATTGCAGAAATTGGATATCGGACGACTGTTCAATCGCTCAATGGGACAACAGTAGTTCATGAAAATACATTACAGTTTAATAATTACAAACTCTCCAGTATAGATGGCATTTTGTTCTTTATCGTACAACAACAAAATCGAAGACATTTATGGTTTGATATTTTTGCAAACATGTTGCACTTACACGCAGGAACTGTTTTGAAAATAAATGAAATATGGCTAATCATTTCTACATCTGATTCTTCTTAACGAGCAATACCAGCACTTAAAACAAATAATGTAATATTTATAGGGAAGTAAATAACTTGTGCACAGCCACTCTAATTTTTGAGCAAAGTCAGACTTGGCATAAAAAGGAAATACATTCTATGCAAATTCGATTAATTAACGCGTTTGCACTTTGCAGTAAACAAATCTTAAAATTGTTTTATTTTACAAGCCTTTAGCATTGATCAAAGAAGTTTCCTAAACCATAGGTCGAATATGACTTTAAAAAGTGCCAATCGACAATCGAAATGTATATGCTCTTGGTTTTTGAAAGGAAATCAACATTTCGGAACAGAGAAAGAAGAGAAGACTAGAGAATTCACACACAAATGAAATAAGATCGTAAGAATTTTAAAACACGTCATGAAATGTTTGTTGTATTATATAACATTTTAAACGCCATCGCTATGTTTCATTGCAATAGTCTACTTTGGTAAGATACACTCAAATGTATGAATAATAAATAATCTCTTTTGAAAACAACAATAAACAGAAATACTCCAGTTAGAACGTCGCATTGAAAGTCACATTTCATAACTGAATCTTCCCATTGGTCGATAGTTGTTACGTCAGCGCGTTAGGTCGAGCTAAGTGCTTATACAAGAATGACCAATTAACAATTCCCCAAATTGTACAAAGGTCTATAAGTCCATCGGCATACCATCAGATCTAATTTACGTCATAAAAAAGTAACAAAACACAAAAGAAGGCATTTAGATTCCGAAAGACAGTAATTCATAATTTTGCATTTAAACGATATAACCCAAACGACACTCTAACGATATCTAATGTTTCAGCTGTTAACACAATCTATAAAGTATCACAGACCACAATATTCAAGAATGCTTCAACGAAACTATTAATCATCAGGAACTGCAACACGCTACTGCTGAAAAAATAAATTCTTTACTTAACTTTTCCAAACCACTTAATAACTATGTACACTGAAAAATACCTCTACATATTGCTTGAAAACACTAATTATTGCATGTATGCTTGAATTATGTTCATGAGAATGTTAAGAATGTTTTCAATATATTTTTTTATCCGATATCAATCGCTCTAGTATGGAAAACGTAAAATCTGTTTCAAAAGCTCCACGCTTCAAAACGGCAAAATTCAAAATCTGTACATCTAAAACCCGATATGTAAAGCTTCATTCCGTATAATGTCATCTGAACAGCTGATAATTACAATATATACTTTTTTACATACAAAATCAAAACGTCAAGCAGTAATTAATGTATGATTCGTCGCACGCAAACGATCCAGTCGTTTGCGTCAAGTCTGAGATCCACCTATAGAGGGCGCCGTCGACTTTTGGACAGGTTCCAAGTTAAAGATAAAGAATTACAACAGACCAGCTGAAACCGACCGAAAGAGACTGCACTCACCACAACAGGTGGAAACTATTGTTTCCAGGTAAGACCCTTTACAACAACTCATTCATACCTGCACCATTGTATACATGTATTACTACATTGTATACATTGTATAAAAAAAATGCTTCACTAAGAATTCATTGAGTATGGAATTCCTGCATTCCAGCTTATATACAAACGAAATATACTTATGTATCTTCAAAACTATCTGCTATGCATTCAAGTATTCTTAAAGACTAAATGACGCATCAAAAAGCATAGCATTTTTTGTGTGAGAAGAAAGTCAACAAAAGACAACCCTTAGTCCTTCCAACAGCAAAATGGTTGCTGGTGTCAAAGGTATCTTTCCAAAGCTATATAATATTCACTTTCAACCGTCGTTTGAGTTTTGTCTATGATTTAAGATCAATGTTTTGAATGTAAATAATACAGTGGCCAAATTTTGTAAAGCTTTATCACCTTTTGAAATATGTAACAGCTGTTAACACTGAACAGAATGAATAAGGCCCTTAAATTTAGCCTACACGTTTCAAAACATTCTTTGCGAAGTTGAAACTTAAAATGCAGCGAAATATCTTCGGGATTTGAAAATATTTCGGACGTTCTGGTCTGGTGGCTTATTATTTACAAAATAACGACAATTAGGTCATGTACAGAGTAAATGCAATTTTTAAAGAAAAATGCAATCGTCTTAAGCCGAAGTCTATTCTAAAGGAAGACAGTTATATGGTCGCAGGCGATAGAAAGCCAACTGATGACGTAATTCTAAAAGAAACAAGCCCTGCTTGATTTTTAAAAAAAATCCCAACCTATTTTGTTTTTGGTTCACTAACAGATATATGCCAATGTTTTCCACTACTTCAGGCCAACTATCTAAATAAACGTCCCTCATTCCGGGCTTTCTGATATGAAATATTGCTTCATCCAGTGGTATCCAGTCGTATAGGTATGCGCCCATTAATTAACAGTGTTACCTATATAAACATACCCTTTACTTTAATACGTAAGTATTGTTTTCTCCAAACAGCTGAAGCTATCAATTTATCGACCAAACCTTTAATGTACAATACAAATGCCAGTCTCTTTACAAATAGCCAAATATCTGGTTCTATTAATATCTAACAAGGATGTACACTTTTGATAAAGAGGTTAACAAAACAATATTATGTATAAAATTACCAACAATCACACTTGAGAATATTACTCAGTATACAAATAATGAATGTTTATGAGTGCAATGGTAAGAATACTTTTATGAAGTGACAGATGGAATATTCCATAAACCATTGTCATGTTGCGGCCATCTTGTTATTTTCCCCGTTCAAATGAACGTAACTGAAGCGAGGCTGGAAGGAAAAATAGTCTGGTTCCTTTTTGCACAAATATAATTATCATTCAGTACTGTTATTGGATACAGGGAACATTACTGAAATGGTGGCAGCATGATAAAGGTCCACGAGGTGAAGCTAGTTGGAATGTGACATACCATCTTTCACCGAATGTAATTATTCTTTCCATTGCACGAACCTAAAACATTCATGATTTGTCTTATACATCACCTGAACAAATCGTCGTCTGTGATTGGTCAAAACCAACAATTGTGTGACCGTGCAATGGAACACTATTTACCGTGGAATAGAACTTCTATTGTTGTGGTGCAGCTGGGCCGTGGGTTGGGACGAATAATTGAATGACATGTGATCAACGACCTACCAATCGGATTACGGGGATTTATTCAGGCGTTGTATAAAGTCAAATATCATATATAACCCTTTCATTTATCAATTGCATTTACAGTTTAACTCTTGTCCTAAAGAATACAACCATCTACGGAATTTCGGAAAGAAACAAAATAGATCGTACGTCATTGGCCATTTTCAAGGTAATCATACAAATGTAAGCTGTACATTTTGAAACAAAATTATAACTTTACATCTTCTCGGACTGAAAGTTTGATTCGCAAGTACTCCATGTATAAAATGGTTTTGCACTTGGCTTATATTGCTTTTGCCAAATATTAATAATAATAATAATAATAATAATAACAACAATTTGGGAGGTTAATCATCCTGACTGGCAGCTGGGATGCTGAATTGCGAAGGACGCGGCTACAACGTGGTCGAGCTGAAGGCAAGTAAAGGCGTCTTCGGGCAGCCAGCCACATCAACCCATATATGACCACGGAGCACAGCCTTAGATGGAAAGTGTTGTTCAATACCATGCACTATGAAACACTCTTCTGCAGTGGTCGACATTGCTGTTGGAGGCGACTGGATGGGACCCAAAACCACAGACCAAACCTACAGCTTTGTGTTTAAAGGGCGGATCAAGGGGGGGGGCAGTTTGGGCAGCTAACAGCCCTTCTCTCTTCTGACTGATCACTGTTAATTATATACATAATGAAAGAGAAACCTAAATTTGCTTAAGTTACCAAAATATCGTCATCACTTAATATGGCAGATCTCTATCCACTGCCTCAGGCCTTTGGTCTTTTTATACGTTGTCTGAAACACCTCATCCAGCCACTCCCCCAAATAATCGTGGACCCCAGCCACACCCCATTAAAAAAAACCTGGCCCGCCACTGAGTTTGGATGTCGACCTCACACCACTGGATCTCTCTCGCATGTGGAAACTATAAACCTGGCTCAATCCTGATAAAAATCTCGAAGAATATATCATCTATGTTTCAGTACCATGGAATTCCTATCGAATCATATGTCGGCATGAGTGACAAGGTACCATAAAGTTCCCTGGCGCTCACACGCTTTTTAAATGCTTTGCAGGTTTTCGTAATAAAGCTGTTTTAATTGACATCTTCTTATTTGCAAATTTGAGAGCAACGCTCACTAATATACTGACCACCTCTTTTAACATTTGTCTGGCGCAACGCCTTCCAAAGCATCAGCTTTTGAAAGTTACACTACTACTTATGTGTTCCAGCACTGGCCGAGTTGAATTACTAAACCTTTTTATTTTTACTGCAGTTTTTGGAGTTCTTATAAATTCCATTTCATAACCTGTTTAAGAGTCTATGTACATTCCCACCACAGGACTCAAGCTCTCGCCATATCTTTCACCTGACAATGTGGACACTGACTTGGACATCCAATCATCATTCTGTATTTTTAAACCACAATGTTCTGCTATGGATCTGCCCACTTCAGAATGTGAGTGCATCCCTTCACCTGCTGGACACCTGAAGACATGCTGACTTTCAATTCCCAGACCTGTTCTCTTCTTGGAAGCGGTTTTAACTGCGAAGATGGACCTGCAACAGGTCGTCAGCCTTACAGCCTTCCTCCAAATTCTCCGAACCGTGTCGCGGTTTTTCCTCCAAGTCTCAAATCTGACAGCCCTGCCGTTATATTTCTGGAAGCCCCTGATGATTTGCGGCAGTCTTTATATGTTTGGTTTCTTTGCTGTATCTACAAGTCATTTTTTATTTTTATAAATCAGATGTGTCCCCCTTTTTGCATTTAGAGAGGAACATCCTACGGCCCTACGCCACCGTCTCCGCCATGCTCATGGGAAAGGTCTGTCCGTTCATCCCGCCGCTGGGGTAGGGGGCCGGCATGTACTTGTGGTCTATATTGCGCTGGGTCGCTCGGGGCTTGCCGTTACATCGACAGGCGAAGCGGAACTCCGCCATCATTTCCGCACATAGCGATTTCTGGAGAATAGAAGTAAATGAAATATGTCAATGCAGGGGTGACCTATACCACCTTCTCAAATGACTAATCTTGAGCTTTTTTGGAAAAGATAAATAGTTAACATCAACAAATACTGCTGACATTTAACCAGGATCTCAGTTAGGCCTACATATTGCCATTTCAAAAAGACAATCTCCCCTTACTGCAGTGGTTAAGCTCAGGGCAAGCAGGCAGATTCTGTCGCACTTAATTCACTGCTCTTCACAGTGCTGCTTTTTCCACAGTGACTCTCTGTGTGACACAGTTATACTGTCCCTTTACCTCAAACTGACCTGCTGGGTTTTAAAGGGTTTATACACATTGCTCTGAGCATTGACTTTCCCACTAGGAGGATTGAGAAGAATTGATCTTGAAGAAGATCACATCTAGAATGAAGGAAGCAAGCCTCGGGCAAAGAGTTCCACACTTACCCGGTCTATCTCCGCGTTCTGCCGAGACTTCCAGATGAACTCGGCCACCGCAACCAATATCCCCAGCACCACGCCCGCTATCAGCACCAGGAATATACCGCCTATGTTCTCCAACCCCAGCTCGTTGGCGTCCGAGTTGTTGGCTCCCTCCACGATGCACTGCTCCGAGTTCCACCACTTGGACTTCAGCTTCATCAGGCTCTCGTTCTCCTGGGCTTTGAGCACGGCGCTGGTGATCCTGTCTCTGAGTTTGGATCCTGGCAAGGGTTGAATTAAGAGCAATTTTAAGGCATACAGGGTGGCCCACAAAAAACGGAACGGCATACTTCCAGTACCTTGAGACTCAAACCAGCATTGATAACGCGTTAGTTATCTCCCCAAATATACATAGACTCATCTTGGTAAAATGTTAACCACTCTGGTTATTTTTATTTACTAGAAACATGCCTAATTCAGACCTCAGGTTGAAATACCAAAATGCACATTTTAGCTGTGAGAAGATTTCCTGCCTGAGAAACGATCTCTTTTAAGGGCCGGTCAACACCTCTTATCTGAATCTCCAATCACCAAGGTGCGAAAATGGCAGAGATGTAGTCAATTACAAGTCCATCACAAGCTCTTCACAAGTTCATCAGAAGTCCAGCTACGCAAAAACAGTGGATGAACAATAACAAAGGAATGCCTTTGTCCAATTCTCATGTGAACAGCTTGTGTTTTGAATTGGGACTGGAGGACTTGTTGCGGACTTGCAGGGACCTGTGATGGACTCGACACCATCCCTGGTCGATGCCAAGACTTACCGAGCGGCGTCCCGATCCCGTAGCCTCTTGAGTTCAACAAGCCACCGATGGTAGTCAGGTTTTTACAGTGTCTGGCTACCACGTACTCCGCCATGGTGGATTCCATCAGGAAGGCGTAGTTCTTCTCCCGTAGGACCCTCAGGACCCCGTCGGTATACGTGTTCATGAAGACGTTGGGTCTCGAGCTCATGAACTCCCACATCGTCTTGTACGTTTCTATGTTCGAACGCTGTCAAGAATATCCAATTAAGAAAAGGTTCTAAAAAGGTTTTCTCATGGTTTCTGCTTTTAATGTGCAAAGAATTTGAGGGTGAATCATACTTGGTTGAGTTCTGCAGCTTACATCAGATAACTTGTGGCAATCGATTGAGTTTATTATGATTCATATGATTGACTGGTTGTAGGAACGATCTGATAAAATTAAAGCAAGTAGGCAAGAAGATTTATTCGTCAATGTGGAATTCTGAATCTTCTTCAAATGGATTTGATCAAGTTAAGAAATGGTGTCTACGTAAATTATGGGAACTTATGGCTACATGTATAGCTTTCTTAAAACGTGAGTTTAATACCGATGACAGTAAACGCACGTTGGTGTTGTATGAAAAAGGAAAAAATTCCCAGTCACTTGCCTGATTTTACTCATAGACTAGATTATCAGTGTTAAAGGAAAGACATTGTATTTCATTTTGAATTACTAGGTTCATTAAAAGATATTCATGTTTCTCGCTACCTTAAAGAATGTATGTGAGGAGCCGCTACTTCTAGTTCCGTACTGTATCTTGGTTTGCTTTGCCAGGTCATCCGCACCATCGATTGGCGACACCATCCGTTCAACGGTCAGAAAGGCTGCCAGGTTAGCGGTGTACGAGGACACCAGGATGAGCGAGAAGAACCACCAGAAGCCGCTCAGGACCCTGGTGGAGAAAGCCCTGGGGTTGACCTCCGAGCCCTGCTGCATCAGCCCGCCGAAGGCAAACCAGATGCAGCTGAGCAGGTTGAACTGGTTCTCCACCTTGTCGTAGTCCGGGTTGCACGGATGCTCGTTGTACCACTCGTAGGGGCTGAAGCGTGCTATCAGGAACATGGTCAGGGCCACGACCAGGAACGCGATGACAACGTACATCCAGATGTCGAAGGAGAGCGGGTTCAGGAAGGAGAAGACGCCCGGGTTCTGGGGCTCGGGCACCCGGTACAGGATGGTGATGCCCAGGTGCATATAGGGCTTGGAGAAGTCCACCACCTGCTCACGCACGTAGGTGATTGTTAGTGGAGCTACTGCCATGTCTGCCACCTGTGTTGACAAAGGTTTCAGGAAGACGTTAAGCTTAAGAATGGCACATTTCAGAGTCTGAATGACACTTTTGCCTAAGGTTTTCGGGTTAAAATAGGACCTGGAAAATGAGTCAGAGAAGGGACATGTTAACCCGGAAAGTGTCCATTCTGACCCTGAAAAGTGTCGGGCCAAATAGAACTCAGATTCCAGGTCCATTTGACGAGGGACTTTAGAGTTAGAATATGTTAAGTTGGTCCAAGGCATAATGTCTTCTGACCAACAAAAAAACCGGTGCCAACAGCCTAAATATGAATAGACTAAGACTCACTCCTTCGATAAGTTCGCCGATCATGCCGTTCCACCTGCCGTCCACCTCCGCCCCATAGTTGCCATCGTTTACCAGCTGGATCTCGTACTCGAAGCCGACTTCCTCGGAAATCATCTTGAGTAGGTCGATGCAGTAGCCTTCGTACCGGTCGTTGCCTTCCAGTTGCGTACCATCGGTTGGCTCTCTCAGCATGACGTAGGGCTTTTCCTGCAGGAGTAGAAGGACAAAGAAGCGAGGCCTAAACAGAAGTCGATCGCGAGCGCTTGCCAAGTCAGCCAAGTCATCAAATCCAGAGTTAAATGTCAAGCTTGCCAATAAACTGTGACAAATAAAAGTTCCTTTATTTTTGTTCCTCTTGTGACGTGAACTGGGCCCAATTTCATAGAACTGCTTAAGCACGAAATTTGCTTAAGCACGAAAAAACATCGCTTAGTAAAATTATGTTACCGGCCAAAACTCCATGTGATGTACATTGCTTGTGACTGGTATTTAGCTGTTGTTTACTTAGCATAACAATCGCATGGAGTTTTGGCCGGTAACATGATTTTATTAAGCAAGACGTTTTTGTGCTTCAGCAAATTTTGTGCAGAAGCAGCGCTATGAAATTGGCCCCTGTGCTGTTGACTTCTGACTTGTGAACGACTCGATAATACCTCAAGATCGGATTGACAATACCGAATCTGAAAGATCAAGAACCCAAGACCGAAATCGACTAAATGTCTCTATTTGGAAAAGAGAGTTTCTCACCATTATGGTGGTAACCTTGAGCGTTCTATTCACTTTGCTTATGTTGGACGTTGGTTCAATGATGGGGTCGAATCGCAATCCCTGCATGGCGCTCCATGATCCAACCTGAAGGAAGATAAACGCAAATTACTAAACATGTATTTATTTATTTATTTCATTTCTTTGCCTAGGCTTTGCGCTGGTTTTCATTGGTTTTCACTTACTGGAAGAGTACATGTTGTAACATACGACGAACATTAATCATTTCACAGGGTTTTTAATACCAGTAATACCATCTTTAATCCAACTTAAATTTGACAGTAATTAGGTAAGCTACTGCAGGGATTAAGGCAAATGATCCTTTGTCTTTAATAAATACGAGTTGTAACTGTTTATAAATAGAAACTCGCGTTGAAGCAGCTGCTTGCAAAATAAAGCCTTTTCCACCATAGAGCTAGGACCTAGCTCTATGGTTCCACTTACCTGTTCCAAACCGTCTCCTCGAACCTCCGAGACGTAGAACGTCGGTTCCACCCTCTCCCCGTTGGAGTCGAAGCGGATCTCACCCGTCAGACCGTCTAGCATGTTAACCTGCCGAGTCATATTAATTCATTTAATAAAACTTCAACAATACGTGTACTAATGGTAGGAATTAACGAGTACCTCCGTTCTGTCTCTTGTTGAGAGGAAAAAGAAAAGGTCCTCAATTAATACGGATGAGGACCTCGGTTCAATGCTAATTTGAAATTCATGTAAAGATGGAGGTTTTTTTTTCGGTTTTTAATTTACAGGTTGTCCCACAAAAACCTAACAGTCGAATCGGGCATGTTTTCAGAAAAGTAGGGATAGTATTCAAAATCGTGTCTAATGTATTGATGTCTAGAATAATTGGTCTTCCCCAAATGCTTTTTAATCGGTTAAGACGTTTTTTTCAAAAGATACAGCAATCACAATACGGGACTTAAAAAAAGACCCACCAGGGCCACTGTTTTATTTATCAGGTTTACAGATTGAAGCCGATAGAATACGTCACACGTTACTCTTAAATGGAGGAAATAAATCCTTTGTGTGTTTCTCTAACTGCACTTTACCGATTTGAGCGCGTTGAAGTAGCTCAAGCCTACGTCCCAGTCCTGTTGACCGGCATCGCAGGACAGTTGCTGCGTCGACACCGGTCCGCTGAAGTCGTGCAGACCCTGTTTAGCTACGCTGACGGCGTCGAACATGAACGCTATGTCGGTCTGGGGAAGTCGACAGAAAAACTTTCGTTATATTTACAGATTTAACTGATAACACGTAATCCGGAGAAGAGAAAGGACTACAATCATGGCCAAATCTCGCTGGGCCCCAACCCCCGGCCCCCACTCATTGCGCGGTGTGTGCTCCATCAGCTGGAGAGAACAACATTGACCGGGGGAGCGGGGGAGTGGGTGACCGTGGCAGGCTCAGGAAGTGTCCCAACCATTTTGGCCGGGATTGTAGGTCCCAAATACCCTGTGAAATGATTCCACCTGAACTGGTACAATGGGTATGATCGTTTTTGTAAGAAAGCAACCACTGACGGTAGTTTAAACAGCATGCATGTCAGAATTATTGTTCGGAAATTGTGCAGTGAATGAGAATCTTGTCGACAGCTTAAACAATTAAGGGCATGTGTTTTCTGCTGGGCAACTAAGTTGTTAGGTTTCTAGTCAGCTCTTGAGAAACGGGTCCTTTTTTTTTGTTAGAGTGTAGGTGTCCATCAAAATGTTGGCCTACATTAACAGCACCACAATCGGCGAATCCAGTAATTTGCACATTTTGTAAAATCCCATCTTAAAAAACAATGGATCGCGCTACATACATTGCTCATTAACATGACGTGTAAATTACTTATGGATATTTTTAAAGTTTAAAGATACTTTACCGTAAAAGGTGTTTCGTTGTATGGGGCGCCCTCCAGCGCCTGGTAGTGGTGCCAGTCTCGCCTGGTAGTCTTGACACGGATGCTGTTCATGTTCATCAAATGGAAGGAGGTAATGTTGACGGAGCCTCCGGTGTACCGCATCATGTCGATCAAACACGTGTCCTACAACCAAACAAGTGAGAGTGCACAATAAGCTCTGCGACAAAAAAACGACGCCGATGGCACATATGTAACACCATATTGGTAATTTTCATTTCCTCCTTCTGGATACCGTCCAACCACTACAGGAAATACCACGTGACCATAACAATACTGCACCTATATCTTGCCTCCGTTTACAAAATTTTCATAAACAACTTTACAAATTGCAACAAACAATTTTTAGAGTGCATTTAGTTACGACGACGGCATGGCATTTGCTTAATTTTGGTTAAATATTTTTGGTCAATTTTTCGGGGCCAACCGACCGACCGACCGACCGACCGACAGACACCCAAGTGACTTGTAGAAGATCCTGCCAGAGCTTAAAACAGGAACGAGACAAGCATAGAAAGCGTCTCTATTCCATTGCTACACATGGCTATTCACTGGGTCTTTTCATGCTCATGCTGTACACTACGGGCCGGATTTAGCCCGTTCATTGGCATTACGGGGTGACCCTATACGATAGCACTGCCCGGCTCTTTTCAACAGCCAACAACCGGGCTTAGTCACAAGTGACAGTCCGTGAATCAGCGAGTTAGTCAGGTATAAAGAGGACTATTTTTTATTTTATTTGTCTTCTGTGTCTTTGTGTGGTTCAGATGTCACACTTTTGTTTATTATAAATCTGAACGGGCCAGGACCCTTGTTCAGTTACTGTATCACCGATCTACCAAACAATTGTGAGGACAAATTTGTTTCAAATCGCTCTCCTAGTATTGCATTTGCATTTGTTTGGGTTTTTCTAGACAAACGAATCAGTTAGAATCTTACCATCGACGGGAATATATAGTGGTAGTGACTCTGCAGCATTTGTAGTTCCAGTAACTGTGAATAGAAACGAACAGATAAAAAACTACTTTTCAAATTACAATGAAGATTGCATTCGCAACTCTGCAAAAACGTGGCAGGGTTGAGACATCAGTACCTCGAACTTGTTCACCAGAAACATCGAGAAAGTTCGATGTTTGAAAACAGACAGCAACCTGGAGATTGTTGGGACAGGCCTCACTAAAATAGAGCGCCCAGTGACTGGATATTGAACAACAGAGTGTGCCAAAAGTAAAAATGATTACAACTACATAATATTTTTTCTTCAATGAAAAAAAAAACGCATTAAAGCCTGTTCTTTTCTTAACCCACTCCTTTTTACCCCATTCCATTTGGGTCCCTGGATCCAGAAATTCAATCAATCAAATGAAAGGGTGTAAATTTTAATTGGGTCACTCTCACCTGGACATGCTGAATCTGGGTTAAGCATTGAATAGGCACTGAATAGGCATTGAAGTTGGTCAGTGGCGGAGAGTTGGAGAATGGCGCAAGTAAAATTTACACCCTTTCACTGAATTGATTGTATTTGTGAAACTAGGGACCCAAATGGAATGGGGTAAAAAGGGGTGGATTAAGAAATAGTCTGGCTTTAATTTAATAAATAATTTCATTGAAGGAAACCGCGAACATCATCTGCGGAACAACTTGCTCCTACATGGTTTTATAATGCCCTTCGAGGAATAAAAAAAAAACAGCCCAGACGTTCTGAACTGTATTCTATAAACTGGTCGCCTTTGGAATGATCTAATCACACACAATACTTTTAGGGTACTTGTCCCAAATAAATTTCCATCGGAAACCACTCCTTTAAAAAAAATAATAACAGGGTCCCTGCCGAGGGTATTCTACTTTCATTTTCAGAAACCTTCTTTGTTTCTTGAAGCTTTCAGTAGAGACTTTTTTCACGGTTCACCTCTCCGTACAAGGTTGGCCAATTAAATACCATGGTGATGTCAAAACATCGACCAAACCGAAATCAATCACGGTATTGGTTGGAATTGAAGCGAAACTGGGAGATAGCGCCGTGCTCTACCCTTCAATAACAATACACAATTAGGACTGAAATTAAATACTTGAGGGAATGCATGGCTTAACTTTGTACATGTGTGAGAGAAATTCACAAAAGCTACGAGTTGGCACTTCCTATGCATGCATGGCTAGATACCCGAGCAAAGACTATATTTTTTTGAGTTTCGATCGGTTCTTCTTTTAGAATTCTGAAAGGTTCAATTCATACATCAGGGTCGTTAAGCGGACTCTGATATTTGTGCCTGATAATGGAGTTACACAAGAACAAGTCGTCAAGGACACCACGAAGTAACACCCAAGTGGACTAAAGTGCGCGCTACACACACACGTATTTTACAAAACCGAGTGATTTTCGTATCCACCAAGTAACACTCATGAACACTGTGCGCTCACTTGGTACATTTTCGTTATCACGAAGTAACACCCATCTTCATTTCACCAGTTTAGGGGCTTTTATTAATTTTTCCTGTAATCCTACAAGACTAGGGATTAAATATATTCCTGTCAAACGTTTTAAAATGTTGTGTATCCAAATTTAATTTCCGCAACAATATTGTAACTTAGTGAAAACGAAAATCGTTCGCGCCAGTGTCCGATGTGCGCGCGCACACCTGGCTGTTACTTCGTGAAACCAAAATTAGTCAGTAGCGGTTTTCACGAAGTAACACGGACTTGGGTGTTACTTCGTGGTGGCGGTGACGAAGTGTATATCTGTACATTTACACACATGTATGGTTTTTACGTCATTTACAATTTGAACAAAAAAGGTGAAATCAGGCTTTTGGGTGACTTACATACCTGATAATTATATGTTATGACCAAAACAGTAAGGCTGAGATCTTCTTAGTCTCAAGAATTCAACTTCTTAAGGTGGCAGGTCCAGGAGTTTCGAAAGTGAGTGGCTGGGTGTTGAAGTCCAATAATTGTTTTTTTTTTCAAGGGGGAAGGATGGATGAGGGATCCAGTTAACGCATAAAAAGACTACAGGATTGAAGCACTAAATCTGATATGCAATATTGATGAGGTTATTCAGGGAACTGAAGAGAATTGATATTTTATTAACCTATAATCAAATAGCATTAGTCACTCTAGGGGGGGGGGGGTAACCATCTCTCACACCTGTTAAGTCATTTTCGAAATATACTTCTGTTGAGGCTTCTTCGTTTCAATTGTTCAATCGCTAGAACAGTTTATGGCATCAAGGGGAACATGTAAGCAATCATTATGCAGAGCAAAATGGCCAGTAATACGTACAAGTTCAAGGGCTGGCCTGAGCATTTCCTGTCTGCAGTCGATAATGATATGATATGTTCCCGATCTCTTGATCTCTTTCAGGAGCATATTCAGGTTATGGCCTGTCATCTTTCGTAGCGTCAGCTCGCCCCGGGATCGTTCCAGCACGTGATGCAATCGTAGGAGCGCTGTCAACGATAAAAAAAAAATCAAGGAAGCAATGTTTACTTGATGCAGGGTTGAATTGGTGGTTTGGGGTTCGGTTGGGTTGGATTCGGTACGGTAAGGTTGGACTGGGTTGGATGGTATGTAAAGGTTGGTTTGGGTTGGGCTGTGTTGGGTTCGGTAAGGTAAGTTTGGATTGGGTTGGATGGATGTTATGGTTGGCTTGGTTTGGGTTGGGTTCGGTACGGTAAGGTTGGATTGGGTTGGATGGTATGTTATCGTTGGGTTGAATTGGGTTGGGTTGGGTTGATTTAGGGTAGGCTGGGCTGGGTTCTTGGACCTGGGCTGGCACGGGTTGAATTTGGCTGGGATTGGTTGGATCGGGATTCGTTGAGTTAGACCGAGTTGGGTTGAGTGGGGTTGGGTTGGGCTCGGGGATTCGTAGGGCTGCGCTGGGTTCGGTTGGTTGGAGTTAGGTCTCATACGGTGTGGTTTGGTTGGACTGAGTTAGATTAGCTTAATGGCTTTTTGGTTTGGTTGGGTTTAGTTGGGTTGAGGTAATCCAGGTAATGGTGTCAGCGGTGGGATACCCATCATTTCATCACCCTAGCTTGCAATGACAACCAAGAAGGATTGCAAAAAGCAAAGAAAGGAAGATAAAAGGTTCCCAACTGCAGTTTATTACGTCCTCGTGTTGCTTTGTATAGTTTAATCAAGAATGCACAATGAAAACAAATGTTTCAGTTGCAAGTATATAGCCATGTACCTTCTTCATCTTGGTAGACTATTGTCATCTTCTTCCAGGCATATGCTTCCGTGAGGTTGCTCAGAAGCACACTGATGTATCGATTGTGCGGGTACAAGTTGACAAACCGGTGCTGATTACCGTCTGGTCGGTCCTTGTGCTCCCATCTGGCTATGATGTGAGGCACATCCAGCCGGTCACTCACGCCCTCTACGGCGAGGTTGCCTTCGGCCGTTGAGGGCCCAAAGAGGGCCGCAACGCCACCCTCCTGTGCGAGTAGTCTGCAGACTAAAAACAAGGAGAGAACCAGAAAAAAATGAAGATTCAAGATTATATATAAGTGTTACGCACTTGCGGAAACCTATTGTTATAGTTTTTGCTGGACGTAGATGGTCAGCCTAGTGCATTTTGTTTCATATATGTTACTGACTAACTGACTGATGAGTCACTAACTCTCAGTTGTGAGCCGGGCAGTGCTATTGTGTAAGGGTACGCCAAACGGGTGGGCTAATTGTGTACACAATGCGACCCATTGTGTACACGTGCATTGAAGGACTTTCAGTGAAGAGGTCGTTCTGAATCTATTGAATAGAATTGTGTGCTCTGGGACGAGCTTTATTAATAAGCTTGTTTTTTCGTGTTTGACAAATACGAGGCGCTCTTGTGGATAACTCAGCTCCCCAATAGGAATTTACTTCCCTAAACGGCATTTGCTTTTGACTGCAAGTGAGGTTTGTCAAGTGAGGTTTTGGCAAGCTAGGTTAGTCAACCTGAGGTTGGCGGTAGGGTCGCCTTTAATATTAAAATATTCGATGCTAGCACAGCTTCAATACGGGTAATCACAACGACGACGACAACAGCAAAAGTAATAGCAACAAGGTCATTCCATAAATTCTGGGTCCAAAAGTGACATTTGTTGTGTGTTTTTGTTACACCAGAACTGTGTAATGTGCCATGCAAGTATCGTTAAAATTGACTTCAAACTTATAATTTAACATTTCTTTGGCAGATACCTTGCTTTACATAATCACTCTTGGAGATAGAAAGCATGAAAGAATGTGTCCTGAATAACAAACTCTTTTACACGTCAGATGTAACAGGGACACAGAACAATTGTACCCCAAAATTATGGAAATGACCAACAACATCAGTAACACCAACAGCAGCAGCAGCAGCAGCAGCAACAACAACAACAACAATAAAAACAACAGCAACAGACATGCAAGTATAACTTTCAACCAAACCATTTGGCTGACTCTGCCAACAGTTTGTACGTGAGAAGGAGAAGGAGTTTCAAGGAGATTTAAGAGAAATAATCACAAAACACCCGCAGGCAAGCGTCAAAAAGACTGTCATAACACATCGATTGGGACGTCAACCGGCACACGATCACTTTACGGAAAGCCGGAGGCCATTCTTATTGATTTGCAGATTTTCTTTTTTCGCTGACACCTATGTCCGTCGACTTGTGAGATTTTTTTTTCTTTCCGGCAATTGACTTCAGCTTTCAGCTTTTGCGATGTTAACGAATGCATAAACGCGAAATTTTACTTGGATGAAGGTCGGATTGGACTATAATCTAGTAACACCGTATATTGGCAATATTTTTGATACCGAATAATACTGAATGACGTTGTTAGGGTAAAAAACAAATACAAAATAAAAACCGACAACCTCAGTGTGAGATTTCATTAGGCCTACCGCGAATTTCCATTTTATATTGTGGCTTGATGTGTGCAAAACCTTTCAAAAGGTGACAGAAATAACCTGAGATCTGCAACGACAATGCAAATGTATGATTTTCAAATGAACCACACAGGGAAACTGACTAGGTAAATTATAACAATTGAAAAGTTGAACAAAGAATTGACTGGAGCGGGATTGAACCTGCGACCTCCGAATAGCCGTTCCGGTGCTCTACAAACTGAGCTATCCAGCCCTATGTTGGCGGTTCCCCAATTGGACAATATCTTTGTTCAAGGGGTGCTAGTCAGAAGCCATACACCGGTATGCCATACAGCCAGGGATCCGCCCAAAGTCACGATACAGACCTGGTCGCGTCGCGAATGTTTACAACCGTCGAGCGAGCCATCGAACCATTTCTCGATCGCTGATTGGTTCCCTAGGAAAGCGATATGATGCTGGGTCACCGTCACCGTACGTACATATATAAAGCCCGTATGTTTACAACAGTTGGGAGAGCTTTTGAACTATTTCTCGATCGCTGATTAGTTCCGTAGGAAAGCCTACTGAGAAAATATAGAAACAATTTAACCACTGATACGAAATGGCCAAGACGTTAGTGCGAATAGGCCCGCTGGTCTAATTGTTGTGCCGTTAGAGGGCGCACTATGGACCATCCACTATCGATCACTAGCGTCTTGAGCCAAGACTATCTTTGTACATGCTGTAGTATCTCGGACAGATACACATGTAGATTGTTCATGGTATGTACTACCTCAAGGTTTCTCTAATGCTTCAAAGCTAAACAGTCTTCTCACCAATGAAATTGCTTTGGTTTCGTAAAGAGAAAATATCAACAAATCTGGGAAAACTTTGAAGAGGGTTTGTTTTTGTTCATAGCACAACATTTCACAAACCATGTTGAGCCTACAGTACAGTGCAGAATTCAGTATAGAGTGGCTAAAGGCGGGCAGTACAATTATGTCTTTTAAAAATGTGCTTGATAAACACAATCACCATCTGTTTCTTTTGTATACCGATAAATATGACATCAAGTTGAGCAGTCTCCTGGGCCAATTTATCTGTACACGATGTTCCATCATCTTCGGGATAAAGGGTGATAAATCACACGTCTACACAAGCGTAACGCTGTTAGGGAAACCGCAAACCCGACGTTGGGGGTACAGTGTACTATTGGAGCTGTATGTTTCTTTCATTTAAAAACAATCATCGTTCGTAAATTGGGTGATATCCATAATAATGACGCCAGTAAAATTACAATATGTGCACTGCACTATTACGTTGCGGACTGAATAGGATTTACTGGAAAGGTCAAACAGATTGATCGGTTCCCTGACTTATGTTAGGACCGCCTTCAATAGCAAACCGACATCGCATAAATTACACGATTTATTGCGTACGGACGACAGTGGGGTTAGGACCGCACGCGACCAGTGAAACAAAAATATCTCATCTCACATGAATTATGAGAAAGTCACGTCAACGAGGCAATTGATAAACTGTAGCTTTCTGTACAGCGATGACGGAAAAGCAGCAGTTATTTTTTATTGCTGGCATGGTCTGAGAGGGCAAGCCAAGTGTCATCTTTGTATCTCACTGACCGAGCTGGTTCAGTCACTGACTTTCACTTGTGAATGAAACTGGTTGAAGGCTGATTGAGGGAGCCGGGCAGTTCCATCGTGTAGGATTACCCCTAACGCCAATGAATAATCTCTCTCATAGAACGCCATCTTCGTACGAACATTAAAACTGCGCTCAATGACGGCCATCTCTGTAAGAGAACTGCAACTGCGTATTTTACGCAATCAAGCACGCATTGCGCAGTGTTGAAAATGTTCCAAACACGCGCGCTTGTTGCTTGAAATGTGTTCGAAATACGACGCAGCCGATGCACGTTATGCAGTTTTTTAACTGGTTGATTTTTTTCGGCAAGTTTTTACTTCTTTTTTAATTTTCAATTTCGTAATTTTAATTAAAAATTTGTTTTAGTTTCTGTTTTGTTAAATTTAATTTCTGTGCTGCATTTCGTTAGTGTTTATAATTATGTGTATCTTAATATTTGTTCTTTTTTTTGTTATTCACATCCCTATATTTTACATATTTGCATTGTTGTTTCTTCATTCTAGTTTTTATTTAATGTTGATTGATTTTACATAATGTTTTCCTTTTTATTTCATTTTATTCTTATCATTTTATACAGGGCCTTCAGTAATAGCAGTTTTTAACTGATGAGGCTACCCTGTCTAAATAAAACTATAAATAAATAAATAAATAAATAAATAAGTTGACGCTCAAAACGCCGATGCACGTGGATGGTCTGTATGAAATGACGTCATTTGAACGAGACATATTCAACGCCATCAGGTGCGCGTGCGCACAGTTTGCAAACTTTTCTTAATACGCATGTTGCTCGAAGTTTCTTTGACATACGGCACTGCCGATGCGCGTCATGAAAATGTGACGCACAAAATGCCGATGTACGTGGCAATCTGTAGGATGTGACGTCATTTCAGAGAGACCTACCATTCCAAATCAGTTGACTAGAATATTGCTTACTCTGGGACCAGCTCTATTCGGCTGTCCTTGTCCCCTTTTTTTTTAATCACGACGGAACATACAGTTACGGCAAACGAACACAAGGCCACCGATTATGGTTTATGCATTGGATTGACAGACACCATTTTTACGACGGTTTGATGAATACTGTCCTTGGTAATTTACAATTAGTTTGGCGTTTAGACTTTTAAATTGGTTTTTAGTTGGAGAGGATATACACAACCACACGTTTTGTTTGACTGATAATCGGCCCTGATATCGTTCTAGATATTGCATGTACTGTTGTTGTTTACAAGGAACACACGACGCCAACCCTAACCATCCTTTGACGAGAAATGGGATACTCGAGTCGAGTCGAACCGTTCACACATTTCACACATTTCACACATTTTCACACATCCTTCCCATAAAGACAGCTTATAGAGTGGGTATTCCAAAACAAAAAACGACTTCAAGCCATCAACAACAAGCAAAGATAATTGCCACGCACTTGTGACCAGGAAACTATCAATGAATTTGTCCATCGTCAAGCATCAGAGAGACAGCAAGACATTATCACTTCCAGCGATTGCAGAGTTCCACAAATATCGCGGTCTACCTTCTAATGAGAGAATATTCTGGTGAAGGTCTTTACGTGATTTACGCTTTCTGGTGTTCTAGCATTCGCAGTAATTAAAAACTCGCCAGGCATCTTGTACCTGACATCAGTCTAAGTCCCGTCAGTGACAATCGTTGGTATTTCAAGGTCGAAGTTTTCTCATCCCGTCAATAGCAGTTCAGGGATGAGATCACGGGTCATTCCAGATTTTGTCCATGAGTTCCCCCTCCCACAGTGCTTGTGACCAGCTTTGACCGGTCACCTGTCTAATAGTCGTCATCTGATTGGTCAATGCGGACTGATTGATTGACGAGCAGGAGGTTTCCATTTTAGAACTGAAAACATTCTTTACCAATGACCGACTCGGATAAAGGTCTCTAAAATGGCTGGTGATCGTTGACTCTGGAGTTTATCCTTTTTTTCTCGATTG